TCCTGGGGATCTATTTCGAAAGAAAAACCTTCCCATATCTTTCTATTATTTGTCTTATTTTATTTTGTATTTGGTATACTTTACTATTTCCTCTATACATTCAAGATCTTCTGTCCTTCACTTTCGTCGGATGTGACGGAACCACAAGATAATTTGGAAGCTTCTCAGACGAACGATTCTCAAGGCGTCGCCGAGTCTAATTCGACCCAGCCTAAGCCAGTGGCCGAGGATTTCCCGGCTCTTCCAGGCAGTGATACTAGTTTTTCTAAGCCACCCTTCGAACTGGGAGCTTCCGCATTATATAAGGATGTTGAGACGAGTCATCAAAATAGAAACCATTGGTTTACGAAACAATCAAAGGGCCATGAATTGGAAAAAAAAGAAAAAAAGAAGCAAGATACACAGCAAGTTATCTCGAGAAAACAGCCTCAGACTGCACAACAAATTCCTCCGCTAGTTAAGCAAGAACAGGACTCGGGGAATAGTGGCCAGACTGGCAAGCACCAGGAGAAATCAAAAATTGATGCTACTAACGAAGATAATGATGCTAGCTGCCCTAAGGAAACTTATCTTGGTATCCCAATCACCGAAGACACGGAGACTCTTATCTTTGCCAAGGTATGTTTTGAAGCATGAAATAACTTGTTTAAAATGCTTTGATACTTTGATGTTGCTTTGATGTTGCTATAAATCAATTTTGAATTTATGCTTGAACATGAGTTCCTCATACTGATAAGCTGATGCATTCAAATTTATTTTGTGCCTATTCACATTATTGTATACAACTAGCATTATCGCCCTTTATTTTAGTAAACGACTTAAATCATTGTTTGCCCCTATTATTGCTTCTTTAAATCTATTTTTATTGTGGCTTCTTAGATGATTGCCTTAATAAAGTGCTCATGAAATGTTATACTCTTTTTGTTGATGTACGATTGAGTACGTTTTAAGACTTTTAGAACATTTGAGTACTCTATGCCACTAGACGTTATAAGAGATGACACTTGAATTTCTTACAAATTGAGATCCAGCGGTGGTTCTAAACCTACTCTCTTTCTCTTTATAGTGATGGAAAATCAATTTTGTCTTATCTATTACAAACAGTCTAGGAATAAATCGGAATTGGAAATGATCTGCTTTCTCTAATAAGAGTTGTATTTACCTTGGTTTTCATTTGGTAATAAATGACTGATCGTTCATTTTTATATAACTATTTGAGTAAACCTCACGATGCCATTGGATTTAAACTAGCCTTGATTTGCAAAAAGTATTCTCATCCAGAATAGGCTGCAATTTTTACATTGCCTGGCTACAGGGAACATCCTATACACCCAATGCGACTTAGGCTGAATTCTACTTTTGTAACAGGACTTTCCATTTGGAAGGAAAAGTTCGTTTTAAGGAATTCGTGATATGGTCTCATCGATAGTAGCCGCTGCAGTATGAAAGATAATTATCCAAACCATCCTATATTTATCTATGCCTATTTATTTTCGCTTTTGCTTATGAGTATATATAAGAGGTAAGATAGAGCCGAATCGTCTTCTTGACCTAGAGTGTCAACGTAAAACTTTTACAAGAATTATTCCAGCTCTGATGATGTCCATTATATTATAGACGAAGGCTCAGTCCGTTCTAACTTAAAGTGGGAGAAGATGCCTTGTTGAATGCGTCAACCAGAACCTCATATTAAAGCCAAAGAGCCGCAGTACAACTTGGTCATGCTGGCACGAAGACCTAGCTGAACACAACTTTTTCGGAGTCCATAGTTTGCATGATAATCTCCAATCGTATCGTGGAATTGTTACAAATACTGTGCATCGAAAGGAGACTGCGATCAAAATAGGGGCCACAAAATCATGGTCTTCGTATCTACGTCTATTAGAATAAGATTTTTTAAATTTTTTTATCTTTTCATAATATTGTTCCTAGATGTTGTTTACCTGGTAGACGTTTTAATGTACCGAGGTCCACTAATGGGTAACCTGATCAGGTATCGTGTTGTTTGATTAAAACAAGGCTCGAGGAATGAATTAACAGGTTACACTAATTAATTAGAACCAAAACCAGGCCTAGACAATCCCTTTCTGAGCTAGTGATTGATGTGGATTTCCTTAGTTTACAGCATGTGGCTGACGAGCTAGGAGAGGCTATAGATGGAATGATTAGGCGGATACATGATAAGTAACCTGCTCTTTCAAATGAGGTAAACCATTCTTTGAATATACATGCTGAATTAATTAGCTTATCTGATAGATTACCTGAAGAGGTAAAGAGTACTATTGAGTTTGTAATGATTCCTTATGAAGGCCAAATAACCATGCCAAAGCAATATTGTGTTCTAAATATGTTTTCTGGATATTTAAATTGCAATAATCTAATTTTTAAGAAAGTCGACAAAGGTGGAGCAGTGGTATTCATATCTAGGTCAAATTGTGTAGTAAAAATGATAGTTCATTCAAATGATGCTGAAAAGTATAGGTATTTATCGAGAGATCCAACAGAAAGACTTAAGACTAGGCTGAAGGATGTCTTTAAGGTATGCGTTAGTAATGATGAAATGGACGAGTGGAAAATGTATTCACTTATCCAGAGAGCTGCAAGAGCCCCCACAGCTTACAGTCTTCCTAAGGTCCATAAGGAGGGTGTTCCTCTTAGATCAATTATAAATAATAAAAAAAGAAGCATGATGCATTAACTCTCACGTTTTTTATGCATACAACTAAGAATGCCTGGGGATTTTTGACTATATTTAGTTAAAATTGTTATAAGTTTATGAAATCGATTTATCATCAGATGCAGTGGAGGACATAAGGATTTGCGATGGAATCTTGCTTAGCTTCCATTTTGGCGAATAACTATATGGCCAAACTTTAGGAACACTTTTTGGTACAGGCAATACTGACCCCTAAATTGTTTGTTACATACATGGATGGCTAATATGTCATCTAGCTTCATGATACGGATAAGGTTATGATAGTTTTCTACTTTCACAGGGTGGATGTGCATTTAAAGGAAGTTCATGCCAGGACACTCGTGGCAATGCGGCGGAGTGGTTAACCTTTCGAGATTGCATGTTGCATTGCCATGGTTCGACTACCACTGGGGGTATTAATATGAGCTAGGCGAGGCCGAAAATGCTGTCCGTCCTGGATGAGAGCACCTTTAGAAGCAAGGCTATTGGAAATTCAATGGAAATCTCAGCTCCATTCATATCATTGTCAGAAAATTCAGCGAATAGTCCTTCATTACCTTAAACGAAATAGGGTGAACACACCTCTTAAAAACTATTTATACTTGATTGATAAATGATTGATGAAGGGGAGAGAGGGTGTTGACCTGCCATCCAAAAAAAATTGACTCAACTTGTTTGCTCAGTAATGTTTCTAACTTCACTTACCTTCGTCCAATATATTAGATTAAGCTCATCAACCAAACGAAACGTACGAGATTACGCAGCTTCATTTATGCCTTTCCTTAGGTGGTTAAAGCTTAATTACCCTACACTGCGAGGTTAGGACAGGTGGTTTCATAACTTGACTTACACACTTACAGGTTTAAATCTCATTTTCTCAACCATACTTGCTCATGGACTCGGTCGTGGCTTTTTCTTGTGTCATTGAGCCTTGAGGATCAGAGCCTAACCTTAGTCTTTTTCATTCACTCTGTTATAGGATCATTATTAAGTATAAGCGTTAAAACACACGCACAAATCGATGCAACTGGCGGGAGAAAATGAAAGATAATTGTCTAAACCTTCCTATCTATGCCTATTTTCGTTTTCAATTACGAGTATATATAAGAGATAAGATATAGTCTTATAATCTTCTTGACTTAGTGTCAAGGTAAGACTTTTACAAGAATAAGTTATAGCTCTGATGATGTCCATCATATAATGGAAGATAGCTCAGCCTGTTTTCACTCAAAGGGAGGGAGGATGTATCGAGGACTGCTTCAACCTGAACGTCGTATTAAAGTGAAACGGCTGCAGTACAACATGATTATGGTAAGATCAAGCTATGAATCTCTTCTCCATGCACTTTCATACTAAATGAAGGACTCGCTAATAATGAAGGGGGATTGCCGCGTATAAAATACTGCTGAATTATGCTAAGAATTCCTTGGTTTACCGTTCTGTGACCCCGATTATACTTTGCTAAGCTTTCCCTATATTGTGGCAAACAGCTTCAGAGCAGCTAGCCATTCTTCATTAAATAGAGCAAAATATACTAGACCAAGATAAAAGGTGGATGGCTACAACCTTAGTCGCTTTTTTATTTACATCTAACTTCGTGATCTTTGTAAGACATTCCATGATATGGTTGGCACTTCAACATTGCTCTACATGTTGCAAATAAGCAAAATTTCTTCCCGAACCGTAAGTCCGTTCGGTGGCAGCTCTTTCCTTACACAAATAAACTACTCTTCGATTCTCTAATATTGAATCATGTTTGGGCTTGTGCTATTGTCCATTTTGTCTATGTAATGTTCATGTCATGGGAAGTGTGACTCGGAGCTAATCCAGCCTTTTTGTTCCTGCCTATCCAACAGCCAGTTCCTACTTAGTTTCCTATACTACACGTCTACTATTCAGGACGTTGGCTGTTTTGTTACTTTCTATACACTTTAGAAACGGTTTTGTGTTCGCAAAGTCTCTTTTTTATGGGTCGGCAGGTCTCCTCCTTATAGGCTTTACCACATGAGCACAAAACCCTATAGCAGC